GCTATTTCCCCCGCGCGCCCGCTGTTTTGTGCGTGCCCGTTTTTCCCGCGTGCGCGTGCTGTTTTCGACATGCTCGTTATTTCCCGCACGCGCCCATACCTTCTCTCTCTCTCTCTCTCTCTCTCTCTCTCTCTCTCTCTCTCTCTCTCTCTCTCTCTCTCTTTCTCTGCCACTCGCGCCCACTGATTCTGCGTGCCTAATCTCTCTCTCTCTCTCTCTCTCTCTCTCTCTCTCTCTCTCTCTCTCTCTCTCTCCTCTCTCACGCCCTCTCTCTCTCTCTCTCTCTCTCTCTCTCTCTCTCTCTCTCTCTCTCTCTCTCTCTCTCTCTCTCTCTCTCTCTCTCTCTCCCCCAACGCAGCGCAGAAGCCCCTGCTCCAGAGCTCTACCTGAAGAAGAAGAAGAAGAAGAAGATGCTTACCGATGGAGGGAAAGCTCGACGGTGGGGCAGTGCGATGGCGAATCCACGGAGGCCGAGGCGGATGGGGGCTGGGTGACGACGTCTCCTCCTCGAACCGGGTCCACATCTCCAAAGCGGCGGGAGTTGGGAGGCTGGAGGGTGTTTGAAGGGTCGGGCGGTTTCCGGCCCGAATCTTAAAAAACAGGCGGCCTATCTGGGCCGCCGAACTCACCAGATCACCGGTCCAGATAGCCCGCCAGTTTTCTAGATGTAGGCGGCCCTACCGGACACGGTCCGATTTTTTTGGGGGCCGGGAGGCCTCCATGGCCTGCATGGAGGCCTCCCGACCCCAAAAAAAATCGAACCCCCCCACAATTCGAAATGCGGAAATATCAACCGGGGAACCGGCGCGGTCCACCGGCCGGTCCAACCGACCCGGTTCCAGTGGGGGGAGGGGGCCCCTATGGGACCGGGTATGTAGCCTTGAGTAAAAATAAAAGACGAGATGCAAAATTGAAAAAAAAACTACTCACAACCTGATTTTTCATCAGCAGGAGCGAGATCCCACTACAGATGTATGTGGATAGTGATTAAACCACCAGTACTTGGCCCACACATCGGCCGCAGGCGTTTCCCGTTAACGCGCCGCGACCGATGGGCTTCAGCCTACTACCTGACCGCAATGGCTGGAGGCGCCAGCCAAAAGAAAGTCGAAACGGGGCCGTGGCAGCTCAGCAAAACTTGGTGCGCAGGGCATATTCAGGCTCGGGATCAATAGCTGGGCCAAGCACTGGTGGTTTAAGGTGTGTGACTGTCAGGCATCATGGATTTGGCAGGAAATCAGCGGGTAGCCTGTCTTTGTGAACTAATCCCGGGAAAAGGATGTTTTTTCTTGCTCTCCCATTGGCAGGACATCGTATTTCTTTTTCCTCTACTGCTTTCTGGAAGCAAAAAGAAAAAAAAAAAAAAAAAAAGTGCATTGTGTTGTCTGGCTGCAGACAACGTATTTTCGCGTCTCAAAGCCAGGTCTCGACCTTGGCTTTTCTGCTTTGGGCAACAAACGGGTGACCAGTGTGACCCGCAGGTGCGATATAAACGCAAATTCACATACGTAAAATTTGCGAAAGTATGTGCTAGTGTGAGTATGCCCTCAGGGAAGCCTCAGACTATTGTGAATAAATATCATCCGTGCGCCCACTCACATGCAGTCGTCTTGACTGCCACAGCCATGGTCAGTGAAGCATACCCTGACATCTGACACCCCGCCTGGAGCAGACACCATCTGTGCGAAAAACACTTTCTTTTTTTTTTTAGCAGTGTTTTCTTCATTTGTTTGAAGGTTCGTTAGACACTCCTTGGGCGCGTAAATCCCCCGAGGAATTCATCGTTCCACTTATCCTCGGGGAAGAAATTGAAAAAAAAAAGTGAAAACATTTCCTTGGGGATTCCTTGGGGATTCCTCGCACTACAACCATTTCGACGCATTCCCCAAGGGACCTCCCGAGGTCCCTCGGAGGTCGAGGATCTGGAAGAATCGAGGCGTAGACGGCAGCTCTCTCGACGACAATTTTCGAACGTAGCTGGTCCATTGCTGTTCCTGGCGGCCTGTCGACAGACATCTTCGGTCGGCAACGTTCGGAGTCATGGAATTGTCCGCCAACGGTCACCGTTGCCGGCCTGCCGGCCTCCACGACGTCTAGAAGGGGTTGTCTTGCATCGATGCCCTTGGCCCTGAGCGGGAAGGCACCCAACGGTCGGCAGATTCAAATATTTCAGTCGGTCCCCACTCTCCCAATTGCGCAGTGTCTTCCGCGATGGAATACATTACCCTTCGTTTGCCGTTGTCTGCGATCTGCCGTTTGCACGACTGTTCCTCGCTGTTTCCTGGACGTCCACCGTTGTCTTCTAGCTGCTGTCGTCGTCCACGTGCCTTTCATGGGCGACGTCTTTCGGAGGCTGCCGCTGCTGGTGCTGGTCATCCTCTTGCTCGTCATTTTAGTTGTCTTCCACGTGTGCATCCTCGGTAGCATTCCGTGACGTGCATGCAAAAGACGGTCTTTGAAGAAGGACGTCAGGATGGAGGGGCGCGAGTGACAACCGGAGTACACGGCATAGACGTCGATGACGAAGGTGCACCTGGGAAGACAACAACGATGGCGATCGTGTGACGGCGTGTCTGCTGCTTTGGATGTCTACATGTACGTTCGTCGTGCCCGCCAACACGCAGCCGCCACCCCGTACCCAAACGTTTCCACCAAGGAACATTGCTGCCGTCAGCTGCGAGGGACTCCCACGGCCCGCCGTCACTCGCATGCCCAAATTCGAATCTGGGACTGAGCGCCTTTTTCAATGCCCTCATTTTTTTGAAGGCCACTGACTTTCGATTTTGCAATGCCCACTCAAACTGGACCAATGACGTCGGCACGGACACAGCTCGGTGGACCACCCTCGTCCCCCCTGCCGCCTCCGCTTATCAACATATGAAACTGGCCGCGGAAGCC